TGTTGTAATTATTGTTGACTTTTTATGGTGTCTTGAGATTTAATTCCTTCAATATACCACTGGTAAGGTGGGAAAGATGGGTGAAACAGAGACTGTGACATATGACAAGAGCCATGATAGTGCTATGTAGAGTGTCAGGGAAATGTCAATGAGAAGACTGAGAGCTGCCAAAATTGGTCTTTTTGTGAAAGTTAAAGACAACAGTTAGTTGTCATTAGGGAGATATCTTAGTTACTATCTCCAGATACTATTCAATGGTGCATAATAATTCCATTCTGAAGATCATTTCTGTTCAGTGCCTATTATCTTCTAGGCACTGTTAAACAGTTCACTGATATTTTATTAGTTAAGCTTCTTTAATCCCCTCAGTTTATGCAGTAAAAATTGGAATTAGGGTTAGTACTAGAATTTTAGGCTGGGAATGGTGGTTCAAGCCTATAATCCAAGGACTTTGGGGAGCTGTAGCAAGAGAATTACTTGAGGCCAGGAGTTTGAGACCAGCCTGGGCAACATAGCAAGATCCCTTTCTCTACAAAAAATTAAAAAATTAGCTGGGCATGGTGGTGTATGCCTGTAGTCCCGGCTACTTGCTGGGACTGGGAGCATTATTTGAGCCTAGAAGTTCAAGGTTACAGTGAGGTATAATCAGGGCACTGCACTCCAGCCTAGGCAACAGACTGAGACCCTGTTTCTAAAGGAGAAAAAAAAAGTATTTTGTAGATTATAAATTAGGATTAAAAAGTGAATTTGTCCAAAATCACAAAGTTTATAATTGGCAGAACTGGAATTCAATTTTGGATCTGTTTAATTTTAAATCTTAGACTCTGTTCACTATTTTCCTTTCAAGTATGTTATATTAATTATGCACATAACACACTAATATTCATGCCTACCACACTCAGGCTCAGGCCTATGTAGATTTTGCACATTATCTCATTTAATTGCCACATCAGCCCTTTGAGGGTGGTATGTTACAGTTTACAAATTAGGAGACTGAGGCTCAGAGGTAATCTTCCAACCTCCCAAGAGGTAAATGGTAATACCAAGACTTGAACTGAGGTTCATTTGACTTTAAAGTTTGTTGCTAGATATTCACACTTTAATAATTTTACAAAAAGTATCCAGAGAGCATCAACTATAGGTTAATGCACATTCATTGTAGGGTGTAAGATACAGGCAATTTCATACTGCTACCCCATTATTGCTTCAATATTTATTGAATGACTCTCCCACATGGGTGCATTGTTTTTGCTGTTGAATCTATTTCTGAAATTACTTTTCTAATCTATTTTTTATTTGATGGCATGAATTTAAGTCAACTTGATTGTAATTCATTATTGAACACACAGAGAAGCCAAAAATTATGTTTAACTTCTAAAATAGAAGTCCCTGTAATTGCACCTACAAATATAACCACTATTGGCAAATTGGCATATTTTCTTGAGCACTTTATGGACATTCTGATCTATATATAATTTTTTATACATAAAATTTAGAGCTTGCTTTTATCACTTAGCAAGAACACTGACAGCCTTAGTTTTATAGTGTATGAGTCATTTTATGATGTTTTTAGAAATCTGGTAGGGTTCTTTTTTTTTTTTTTTTCCAAAAATCTAGCCTCTACTTTAATATTTCAGTAGGAGTCTAAGAAGCATTATAAATTATTCCTAACCAACCTGTTTCTTATGCCTTTTCAGTTGTCTCTGCTTTAGTGAAAATGAAATTAAAGTATTTATATTTTTTCTAATCCTGTACAGGATCAAAACTTTTCTACTGTTGTCAACAGTCTCCTTATTTGATTTGTGTGTTTTGAAATAAGCAGAAGGACATGAAACAAATTGGAACATTGTTTCACATAAAGCAATACTTCTTTTTAAGGGCGAGAGAAGTACAAAAAATAAAAAAAAAAATTTGAGACAGAGTCTCTTTTGCTTAGGCTAGAGTCCCATGGCGTCAGCCTATCTCACAGCAACTTCAAACTCCTGGACTCAAGCGATCCTACTGCCTCAGCCTCCTGGGTAGCTGGGACTACAGGCATGCCCACCTAATTTTTTCTATTTTTAGTTGTTTTTTTGTTTTTTGTTTTTTGGGTTTTATTTTGGCTAATTTCTTTCTATTTATAGTAGAGACGGGGTCTCACTCTTGCTCAGCTGGTCTTGAACTCCTGAGCTCCAGCAATCCTCCTGGCTTGGCCTCCCAGAATGCTAGGATTATAGGCGTGAGCCACTGCGCCCTGCCAAAACTGACTTTTAAAGCAGTTGTGTGGGGGGGCGCGTTGGCTCACGCCTTTAATCGTAGCACTCTGGGAGGCCCAGGCAGGCGGATTGCTCGAGATCAGGAGTTCGAGACCAGCCTGAGCAGGAGCAAGACCTGTCTCTACTATAAATAGAAAGAAATTAATTGGCCAACTAATATATATAAAAAAAAATGAGCCGGGCATGATGGCGCATGCCTATAGTCCCAGCTGCTCGGGAGGCTGAGGCAGCAGGATTGCTTGAGCCCAGGAGTTTGAGGTTGCTGTGAGCTAGGCTGATGCCACGGGCACTCACTCTAGCCTGGACAACAAAGCGAGACTCTGTCTCAAAAAAATAAATAAAGCAGTTGTGGCATAGAAAATAAATATAAATACCAAAAGCAAAAGAAAAATATGTAATTTGAAGTGATTGTTAAGATGCAGTGTCTCCCAGATTTTCCAATTAATTATATAAAGGATTTTAAACAAACATATCTACTGTATGACAGTTTCCACAGGGAAATTTGCTGGTAACTGTCTTCCTTAACAAAAACATTTATCACCTTTAAAAATACAAGATGATGGGAAAAAAAACATTTAAAAATGCAAACCCAAGATGTTTAAAATGTTTTTCATTACATCATTTTAAAGTGCTAAAAATTAAAGAAAAAAAAGGAAAGAAGAAAAAAAATTTTTTAAATAAAAAATAAATAAAATGTTTTTCATAAAAAGTTGAAAAGTTCACATATTCTATTGCAGTTTGAGGAAACATTCCAAATAAAAACACTTTTTAAAATTCATTTAAGAAATATTTACTTTATAAATGACCCACAACTAGTTTACCATATAACATTAATAGTTAAAGAAATCTACCAGAAGAAATTATATAGTAAACAGTCCAAAACCCTCAATTATTTCAATCTAGCTTGTTCTGTGTTTGTTTATATAAAACCAAGAAAGCTAATACTTTTGTATAAAAGTAATAGATATCTACATTAGAATTTGATTGAAGCCTAAGAAAATATATTTTTTTTGCCCAGTTTGCCTAAATTCATTATAAAAGGCCATAATTTAAAAATCATGAAACTTTAATTGCTAGGAACAAATGTCAGAGCTACCTTATTTCTGGTTTATTTGGACTTATTTCACTATAACTACGAGGTTTAAAAGAATACTTAAGTTCTCCTTGTCATCCCAGTAGTAATTTAAGATCTTCAAAGGATATTTCTTCAACTTTTATTGACTGGGACAGGGCTTGGATTGAAATGGAGAAGGAAAGAAAGATGGGTAATGAACTGAATTGAAAATCTCAGGACCACCATAAACCATAGTTACTTTTTAAACCAGAAAATGTTGAAATTACATCTTATAAGCACACATGCTGCTTCTGAGGACAGGCTTGGTTTCCTGGTTGAGGACTTACCCTGCCCCCGACCCCCAAGCCTAGCAAGAAGAAAGGGGCTAACTGCACAGAGTTAAATGATAAGGCAATAATGGGAAATTAGGTATGATTGGAAATGTACATCAAAAACTATAATTCACATTTGTGTTAGTTATGAGTTTCTGGTAACTGTCCTGTGACTCCTTACTGTTAAGATGTTATGAATCACTCCTCCCAGTTCTTCAGACAAAAAAAAAAAAAAAAAAAATAGACATGGATTTCCTGCTTTTAAAGAGAAAAAAATAATAACATCCTGCATTTGTTGAGACAGGAGATTGGGTGGGCATATACACAGTTTTTCACCTATTAAAATAGCAAAGATTGTTTTAAATGAGGTTTCTTCACGTTGGCAAGTGTACTGACCTGGATGTGCTAATACACCGCTGGTGGGAGTATAAAATGATAGAATTTGGGGGGAGAAGCACTTTGGCAATATTTATCAGGAGCCTTAAATATTACTTTGACCCAGTAATTTCTCTGAAAAAGATGTTTATTATAGCATTGTTTAAAACTAAGTGCCCAATAATTAGGGAATGACTAAATAAATGGTAGACATATAATGGGATGCCGTATAGTTATTTTTAAGTGATGCTTGTGAAGAGTTATGGGGAAATGTTTGTTCATGTGTTAAGTACAGGACTAAAAAGTCTGGAAGGAAATACGGGAGAATTAGGAATTTTTGTATTTATCTACTTTTTCTTTACACTATTTCCAGTGTAATTACCTGAGAGGAAAGGATGAGGCCAACTGATAAATATTAGCTTTAATGGCTGTTCTCAAACAGCTGATAAGGAAAGGAATAAGACCAGAGTATTGAGATGCAGAGGATATTGTGTGTTATCCAACTTAGTTCTGATGAGTGATTTGGAATGTCTTAGCCAGTTTCAACTCTATGATGCAGAATGGGTGTTTTCTTCTTTTTCACTTCCTGGGTCTTAGAACTACCCTAAGCGATAAATCTTAAGTGTTATCTCAAAGCCCGTGTAGTATATATCTACCCATATCATAGAAACAGCATTGAGGGACATCTTTTTCTAAGAATTTCTAAGCCTTTGTGACTATCTTTCAGGTTACTGGGCTTTTCTCTGTAGCGTCTATCTGCACAGAGAAAGGTAGAGTTTGTTAGAGATTTTAATCACTATGAATGCCCTTCAGGATGCCTGTGAAAGTCCTAGAAGTGGGACCAAGGAAAAAACTAAGAGGAAAGGGGAAAGGAAGGAAAGAAGGAAGAAAAAAAGAAAATAAGAGTGGGGAGAAAGAAAGAAAGAAAACAAAACAAAAAAGCCCTGGCACCAATCTGACAGCTTAAAACTGCTGTTTCCCCAGGGCTAACAACATATTAAATAGTACCAGGAATTTTCTTCTTTGCTTTCAGGCTTATAATGAGGAAATTTCTCTGACCAATATCAGGGGGCACATCAGCTGCTGTACTAAGTTTCTTCAAATATCCTGGAATTGTGGTGAGTTTGAACCCACTAGCTACCACTTCTCTACAGCTGTTCTTGGAGTTGTGTGGATGCAGTCTAGTTAGATATATATTTAATAGAATTATTGGTTTACTTGTACTAGATCTTAGTAAATTCCCATTACTTCTGGATTGGGATTAATAGAAGTGAAATTTGAGATGTGCTTTGGAAAGTGAGTAAGATTTGGACACATGGAAATGAAGAAATGAGGGCATGAATTTAAGTAAAGACACAGCTAGGAAAGGTCAGAATACACCTTTCTGCAAGCAGTTCACTGGGTTGTGGTGGCCTGTGCTTATGCTTGAAATCTTCTGGGGGTTTTCCTGTGCAAGCAATTTAGTAAGGAAAATATGTGGTGGTCGGGGGTGCAAAAGAGAAGAATTGGTTGGAAAGATAAATTTACACAGAAGACTTAGGCAGTAGGAAACCACTGAGGCTCTTTGAAGTAGGGAGTGTCCTGCTCTGAGTTGGGGTCTAAGACAGTCAATCTGGCACCCTTATGTAAAGGATTGACAGAAGCGGGGAGAGTCTGGGCAAGGGGATCAACTAAGAGTCCAGTGCAGACAGAAAGGGACAACTGTTGTATGATTCCACCTATGTGAGGTACCTAGAGTAGTCCAACATAGAGACAGGAAGCCCTACGGTGGTTGCCAGGGGCTCAGTGGGGAGAGGAATGGGTAGTAGTTTTTAAGTTTGGGAAATGAAAAAGTTCTGCAGTTGGTTGGTGGTAATGCTTGCACAATAGTGTTAATGTACTTAATGCCACTGAACTGTACATGCAAAAAAATGATTAAACTGGTAAGCTTTATATTGTGTATATTTTACCACAATTACAAAAAGAAAAAAAAAAAGAGGTCATTACAATGATCTGGGTATGCAGAGGCATGCTGGCAGTGGGAATTGAGGGGAGTGGGTAGATGAGAGAATAATTTCAGAGGTGGGATGCAATGGTTTGGCACCTGATTGGATGCGGGGGCTAGGAACAGTTAGTAGTCTCCCAGGGTTTAGAGACGTGGTTCCCAAACCTTGATTGAGCATGAGAATAAATACCCAGGCAACCTTTTTTTAATTTTTTTATTTCAGCATATTATGGGGGGTACAAATGTTAAGATTACATATATTGCCCCTGGCCTCCCTCCCCCCCTCGAGTCAGAGCTTCAAGCGTGACCATCACCCAAATGTTGCACATCTCTCTCATTGTGTTTGTATATACCCATCCCCTTCTCCCCCCTCCCACCCGCCCGACACCCGATAGATGTTTCCCCTATATGTCCACTTAGGTGTTGATCCGTTAATACCAATTTGCTGGTGAGTACATGTGGTGCTTGTTTTTCCATTCTTGAGATACTTCACTTAGTAGAATGGGTTCCAGCTGTATCCAGGAATATACAAGAGGCGCTATATCACCATTGTTTCTTAAAGCTGAATAGTACTCCATGGTGTACATATACATTTTATTAATCCACTCATGAATTGATGGGCACTTGGGTTGTTCCCACAACTTTGCAATTGTGAATTGTGCTGCCATAAACATTCGAGTGCAGGTGTCTTTTTCATAAAGTGACTTTTGATCTTTTGGGTAGATGCCCAGTAGTGGAATTGCTGGATCAAATGGTAGATCTACTTGTATTGCTTTAAGGTATCTCCATATTGCTTTCCACAGAGGTTGAACCAGTTTGCAGTCCCACCAGCAGTGTAGGAGTGTTCCTCTCTCTCCGAATCCACGCCAACATTTATTGCTTGGGGACTTTTTGATAAAGGCCATTCTTACTGGAGTTAAGTGGTTTTAATTTGCATTTCCCTGATGATTAGAGATGTTGAGCATTTTTTCATATGCTTGTTGGCCATTATTCTGTCTTCTTTTGAGAAGTTTCTGTTCATATTCTTTGCCCATTTTTTGATAGGGTCGTTTGATTTTTTTCTTGCTGATTTTCTTGAGTTCTAAATAGATTCTAATTATCAGCCCTTTATCAGAGGTGTAGCTTGCGAAAATTTTCTCCCATTCTGTGGGTTGTCTGTTTGCTCTCTTGACAGTTCTTTGGCTGTGCAGAAGCTTTTTAATTTGATCAGGTCCCATTTGTTTATTTTTGTTGCTGCTGTGATTGCCTTTGGGGTCTTCTTCATAAATTCTTTGCCTAGGCCAATGTCCAGAAGAGTATTTCCAACGTTTTCCTCTAGAATTCTAATAGTTTCACACCTAATAATGTTCAAGTCTGTTAGCCAGCATGAGTTGATTTCTGTGAGAGGTGAAAGGTGTGGGTCCTGTTTCAGTCTTCTACATGTAGCCATCCAGTTTTCCCAGCACCATTTATTAAGGATTCTTTTCCCTAGTGTGTGTTTTTGTCTGGTTTGTCGAAGATTAGTTGGCTATATGAGGATGGTTTTATATCTGGGTTCTGTGTTCTGTTCCACTGGTCAATGTCCCTGTTCTTGTGCCAGTACAAAGCTGTTGTAATGACTATAGCCTTGTAGTATAGTTTGAAATCTGGTAAATTGATACCTCCTATTTTGTTTTTATTGCCTAGGATTGATTTTGCTATACGGGGTCTTCTCTGGTTCCATACGAAGTGTAAAACTGTTTTTTCTATATCTGTGAAAAATGATGATGGTATTTTAATAGGGATTGCATTTACTCTGTAGGTCCTAGGCAACCTTTAATACTGGTGTAGATACTGGGTAGCTAGAAAGATGCTGATGCTAATCCTAATAACTAAAACAGTGAGTATAAGAGAAGGGGATTAAGGATAATGAGGATTAGTTCACTTTTGGATATGTTGAATTTGATGGATAGGACAGCACCTAGGTGGAAGGAATTGGGGCCAATAACAGATACTTGTTGTAGAGATCTGTGTTATATCTAGACAACGGCATTAAAAGTTGTCAGGGACATGCAGATAAAGTGAGAAGAAAGTGCTCAAATTAGAGCCTTGGGGAACACACCAACATTATAGGTATAAGAGGAGAAAAAAAGGCACTGAAAAATAAATGGCCAGAAAGGAGGAACAAAAGACAGTTGATAGTGCATTGTCATAAATATTGTAGTGGTCAAGAATAACAATTGAGAAAGGGCCTTTGGATTGGGTGAGTAAGAAAATATTGGTGACTCTTTAGAATGCAATTTTATTCAAAAGAGATTAAGGAGCAAAAGGAGAAAATAGAAATAGCACCATAAATGCTTTTTTCTTTTCTTCAAGGAATGGCGAAAGGAGGGAGGAGCCAAGTCAAGATTTGTCAAGTCAAGGCAGGGCTTTTTTGGCCTGGGTAAACTTGGTACTATTTTAGGCCAGTATTTCTATGGCGTACTTACATCTCATGGCTCTCCTGCTACCTGCCTTGTCTCCTCCCCAGCCCTTTAACAGTGGAGTGTCCTCTTCATCTACAGTCACTTCCTTGATTGTGTTGGAAGTCTTCTATTTGCCTGTCTAGATCCACTTCTCTACTTGCTGTCTGTCCCAGGAGGCTGACCTACATGTACTACATCAACAAGCTTCCTTGGGCTTTGGTTTTTGTTGGGTTTGGCCAGTGTGGAGCCCCAACAGGACTTTAGAGGGAAAAGAGGGGGGAGAGTGAGGTTGGAGTATTTATCACCTTGGCTCCCAATCTGCATGTTCACCTCAGTCTGCCTGATTTGACTCTCAAGTCAGGCTCTGCAGGACTCTCTTCTTCTGGGTCTGGTAACATTTTCTCTCCTAGTCCCTTAGGCTTGGTATGGAAACAGCCACTTTGTTAATAGTCCTAGGACACTCTATTTTCCCATGTGGTTTCCCTCTACTTTTCCCATTCCTTCATAAATTGTCCCTTTGTTAAATACCCTGCCATCATTTCATGCTGAGACCCTGACTTATCCAATTTCATGGTTTTAAATATCAACCATATGCTATTAGTTCCCAAGTGCATATTCTAGGCCAGACCCATTTTCAGAACTACAGCCTCATGTATGTAGCCGCCTGCTAGACTTGGATTATCTAATGTATGTCTCAAGTTCCTGATCTTTCCTCCTAAACCTGTCTGTATTTTTCCAGTTGTTCAGGGGAAAATCTTGAAGTCATCCTTGACTCTTGTCTTTTTTTCACTCGTGTTATCAAACCTGTAGATCTACATGCAGTAGAGACGCAGAGAGTATGACCACTTCTCACCATGTCCACTTTTATTACCTAGTACAACTCCCATCATTTCTTACCTGATAACCTGCCAACTGGTCTTCCTGCTTCTGCCCTGGCCCTCTTTCACTCTGTTTTCAACATAGTCACTCTGCTCCTGAAAACTTCCCAGTGGCTTCCTGTTTCAAAATAAGAGCCAAAGTATTTTTGATGACATAAAAGGCCCTACCTGGTCTGCTTCCCACCCCCATTACCTCTGTGATCCCATTTTCTACTCTGTCTCTCTCACTTGCCCTGCTCTAGTTACTCTGGCTTTCCTTACTGCTTTGACACAGTCTCTCTCTGGTTGGAATGCTTCTTCCAGATATTTGTATCACTAACTCCCCCATCTCCTAAAATTTTTGTTCAAACATCACCTTATTTAGGCTTATCCTAACCACTGTATTTAAAATTGCAAACTGACCTCCTCTTAGAGCAGGTTTGTTTTTGAGACAGAATCTTGCTTTTTTGCCTGGGTGAGAGTGCCGTGGGGCCAGCCTAACTCACAGCAACCTCCAAACTCCTGGGCTCAAGCGATCCTCCTGCCTTAGCCTCCCCAGTAGCAGGGACTACAGGAACACACTACCAACCCCGGCTAATTTTTTCAATTTTTCGTAGAGAACGGAGTCTTGCTCTTGCTCAGGCTGATCTCAAACTCCTGAGCTCAAGGGATACTCCCGCCTCGGCCTCCCAGAGTGCTAGAATTACAGGTGTGAGCCACCGGCCTGGCCTCACAGGAGTTCTGATCTTCCCTTACTGTGTTTCCTTTTTCCATAACACTTAACATCTTTGAACATACTATGTAATTTACTTATTTTTTTAACTTTGTAATTATCATACAGTAAAATTGACTTTTTTCTCCTTAAGATATACAATTCTGTGAATTTTAACACATGTGTAAATTCTTAAAACTATCACTACAATCAGGATATAGGACAGGTTAAAAAAACTCTGTCATTATATCCCTTTATGATCACATTCTTCCTCCTAACCCCTGTAAACCACTGATCTGTTTGTCATACAGCTTTGTCTTTTCAATAATGGGATCATGTAGTATATAACCTTTTGAAACTGGCTTCTCTCGTTCAGCATAATGCCTTTGAGATTCATCCAAGTTGCTGAGTGTATCAATGGTTCATTCCTTTGTATTGCTGAGTAGTAGTCTATAGCTGTACTACAATATATCCATTCACCATTGAGGGAAATTTTGGTTGTTTCTAGTTTTGGCAGTTATGAATAGAGGTACTAAAAAACCTTCAGGTATAGGGTTTTATGTGAATGTAAGTTTTTACTTTCCTAGAATATCATTGAAATTAATTATTTTTTGCATATTTTATTCACTGGCATATTATTGTAAGTGCCTAAACAGTTCCCAGCATATAGTAGGAGCTCAATAAATTAGTTAATGTAGTATGTTACTTTAGAATGAAAAGAGAAAGTGAAACCAGAGTCAGTCTGAACACATTCAAGGTTCACATTGTCAAACCCTGGACTGCAGTCTACTCAAACCCCAAATGGCCAGGACACCTGCAAGTTAAGAATGTAAAAGGCTTTTTACTGAAAGTAAAGTAATTCCTCCCCAGTGTTTTTGGTGGGCATTTATCAGGTTCTTGATTTGGGGGAAGGACTTGGGAAGACATTAAGGAGAAACCTCTTGAGAGAATATTTTAACAGTGATGTCAACATAACTCATCACTGTGCAAAATGCAAAGCCAGATCTTCTACCCTGAGGATAATCCAGAAACAAACTTGCTTGCAAAAGCAGGGGATATAATGGGATCATTTTCCTCACGTTGTTTGACCAACCTAGTGTCACGTAAACTCATAGCAAAGATCACCAGCTGGGGTAAGAAAAAAATAAGAGATAAAAAGGAAACTAATGATTATATGAGAGGTTGATATAAGGGAAGGCGATCTGTTTATCCAAATAATGTATGTTTTACAGCCATCTGCTATGTCTGCACTATGAAACAGATTTGAGATAAGCATAAGCCACGTAAGTTGCATTCAGTTTAAAATCAGGTGCTAATACTCCAAACATGGATCTCCTAGTAACCTTATTCATTAGAGCTTGGAATTCAAGTAAGAATCAGTTGGATCTTGGAAACCATCCAGTGCGTTATAGTTTTTGAAGGCTTAACAAGATTTCAGCTTTACATTGGTTCCATACTTAAAGTCTGACAAGTCTGAATTAAGTTTTCTTAAACAAGTTTTTGTAATAAATGCTATGGACTTTAAAATTTTCAAATTATATAGAACTACATGAAGAAAAAATCAAATGCAACCCTACAACTATATATAAGCACTATTTTTATTTTGATGAAGCTCCTTCCAGATATCTTTATAGGTGTGTGTATAGTACATATATATGTTTCAGTCACTCTAAAAAGGACAGGGGGTAGGAGAAAGCCCCCTTAATGTTCAATAAGAGTGATAAGTAAATAGAAGATAGAAAATTAGCATCTAAACACCCAACATAGTTTATAAACATCAGTGTTTAAATATTTTGAGAATTATCTTCCACTGTGAGGAAAAATGAAATAAATATGAAATATATCATGGGTTCTTAGTTGAACTAAAAGCGACATGGGCTTGTAAAGGCTCTGCTTATCCATCCAGGTGTCCAGGTTAAGGCCCTGTGACAACTAGGAGGTGTTAATATAGAACTGAACAGAAGACTGTTAACTTTCCACCCTTCTCAAATCTCAGATAGATCAGAAACAGATGTCTATTCATAGTTCTTCAGCCATTATGGATGGCTAATTAGATGGGGGTGCACGCTGCATTGCTGTCAACTCGCTGCTTTTTTAATAAGGCAATCCATAAATTGTACGTGAATGTCTGTTTTTGTTTTAGGATGTGTATAGTAATCAGCCCAGTGATGCTACTGTGTGATTGAATGAACTTCTGAGTAGATAATTAGAGGTTCTTTTCTAACTACTATAATATTCAAGAGTAGTCATTTAGAATGTCTTTAATTTCTCCCTGTTGGTAGCCCAATAGTTGGTGTACTGCCTTAAATGTCCAAAAAGCATGTCTCTGCCATTGGCAGTGACTGCAAACCTTAGGAATTTCTGCCAGAGTTCTTGTGATCTAATCTTCTCTTGAAAGCACAAAGCTGAAGTATGTATTGAAATACCTGAGTCAGCTATTCAAGAGATACACTGGCTGTACCCCTGCTGATTTTTCTAGGGTGAAAAATCTCCTTGGTGACCTGAGGCAGCTAGCTTTTATTCTCTCCACACAGAAATAAACAAATTGTAACTCTACATAGAAAGCACATACATGTATACACATACATAAACTATATCTAAATGCTGGCATTGGGATTATTGTATTTTTTTCATATTATGCTTAATTTCAGCAGATCTTGTTTAATAACTTACGAGAAAACAACTTTAATTCTACTGATTACTTTTAAATTTCCACTCTTCTCTAATGTTCTAATTTAGCGAAGGAAAAATAAAGTCATGTATGTGAATATTTGTTGTCATTCATCATAGGAAGCAAAAATACTAACCTCTCCTTCTTTGATTTTCATTCATAGTCAAGTTCATCCGAGAAGTAACACCATATATCAAGAAGCCATCGTTAGTATCAGATCTGCCATGGGAAGGTGCAGCTCCCCAGTCACCAAACTTTAGTGGGAGTGAGGACTCTGGTTCTCCAAAACACCAGAACAGCACCAAGGACAGGAAGGTCATCCCTCTCAAAATGTGCTTTGCTGCTAGAAACCTAAGCATGCCGGATCTGGAAAACAGGTGAGCTGTACCTAGCAAGAACATCATACCTACAGCTTTACAAACTTAAGGACATGTTACAGTACTATGTGGCTCTGTTGACTAAATTATACAGAGGAAAATATTAAATATTAATCTGAGATGAGAGATTCATTTTTGGAGTTCCCTATTTATTTAGTTATTTATATACTTAGAGACAGGGTCTCTCTCTGTTGCCCAGGCTAAAGTGCAATGACGTCATCATAGCTTACTTCAACTTGAAACTCCTGGGCTAAAGCCATCTTCCTGCCTTAGCCTCCCAAGTAGCTGGGACTACAGGCATGTGCCACCATGCCCTACTAATTTTTAAATTTTTTTAACTATATGGTCTTGCTGTGTTGCTGAGGCTGGTCTCCAACTCCTGAGCTCAAGCAGTCCTTCTGCCTCGGCCTCCCAAAGTGCTGAGGTTACAGGTATGAGCCACCATGCCCAGCCTTAAACTATTTTACATACGTGAACATGTATGGAAAAATTTTGGACAGACACAAAAGAAACTTCATGGAATTATCCTTAGGGAGTGAAATAGGAATAGAAGTTAGAAAGAAAGAGGGGGCCTCTACTCTTCCTTTTATACCTTTCACTAGTGCTATTATTACTTTTCTCACTATGAATATGTATTGCTTTATAATTGAAAAAAAATCTTAACAAATTTTAAATGTGTCCTTAGAAGCAAATTTCTTATATGATGGGTAGTATAAAGAATCAGGAGCTGCATTATAGATCTGGCTATATCATCTAGCAGTTGACTCCAGCAAGTGAGCTTCTCTTGACTTCAGTTTCCTTTTCTGTAAAATCAAAGTTAAATTGGGTAATTTCCAGTGTTCCTCTTAGTTCTGTAGCCATTTGCGTTCTGTGACTTTATTAACTCCACGAAGTGGCAGCAGGTAGAGACTTAGTGTTAAGTTAGAGATTGTGGGAAGAAGATGAAAAAACTTGTCCAAAGACATAGTTAATACAAACTCTTAATAATGTGCTTTTACTATTATGATCTCCTCTGATCTGAATGAACAGCCAAGTGCCTAATCAGGATGGGATGGAACACAGAAAACAGCAAGAAACTGAATGATCTTCTTGGGCATTTAAGGCCATGGGGACGTTAAAGCTTCTGGTGTGCTAGAAAGAGCTGAGTGCTGTGATCAGATAGACTTTGGTTTGAATCCCAACTAGGTCACTTGCTCAAAGTAAGGCTGTGAGCAAGTTCCTTCACCTCCATAAACTGCCATATTCTAATCTATACAAAAGGGATAATAAGGGCCAGGTGCAGTGGCTCATGGCTATAATCCCAGCATTTTGAGAGACTGAGACAGGAGGATCACTTGGGCCTGGGAGTTCAAGACCAGCCTGGGCAACATAACAAGACCCTATCTCTGCAAAAATTTTGAAATTAGCCAATTGTGGTGGAGCAGGCCTGTAGTCCCAGCAACTTGGGAGGCTGAGGTGGTAGGATCACGGGAGCCCCAGGAGTTTGAGGCTGCAGTGAGCTATGATGATGCTACTGTATTCCAGCCTGGATGACAGAGTAAGATCCAGTCTTCAAAAAAAAGGGTGGAGGGGGAGAGAGGATAATGGTACTTAGCTTACCCTGCAAATTAAATGAGATAATATATATGAAGGCCCTTGCACAGAGCCAAGCACATACAGTAGGTTCTCAAGAAACAGTAGCTTAGAAAAGTCTTGACTACTGTGTATACACATTTGGAAAATTATATTCTGATATATTGGTATTATTTTTGTTAGTTTTCTTATAAAAGTTCAAGACATCGTAGAAATTACTTTGTTACATATAGGTTTATTCCTGGAAAGGTCGTTTGCAAGTTGAATCATCTAAGTGCAACACAGCTTGATCTTTAAAAGAAATTTTATATTATTTTCATAAAGTAAGAATTAAATTTGTAAGACAGTCACCTCTGCCTCTTGAATACATATTTTAGTTTTTTTTTTCTTCAAATGGAATACATTTATATAGAATTAGACCCTTTGGTCTATTAATCATGGGCTTAAAAAAAGGAGCCATAAGGCCGGGCGCTGTGGCTCACGCCTGTAATCCTAGCTCTTGGGAGGCCAAGGTGGGCGGATTGCTCAAGGTCAGGAGTTCAAAACCAGCCTGAGCAAGAGCGAGACCCCGTCTCTACTATAAATAGAAAGAAATTAATTGGCCAACTGATATATATATAAAAAATTAGCCGGGCATGGTGGCGCATGCCTGTAGTCCCAGCTACTCGGGAGGCTGAGGCAGAAGGATCACTCAAGCCCAGGAGTTTGAGGTTGCTGTGAGCTAGGCTGACGCCACGGCACTCACTCTAGCCTGGACAACCAAAAAAAAAAAAAAAAAAAGGAGCCATAGAGAAGTAAATAGAATAGGAAAACAATGTGATGAAGAAGAACAAATTGCAACTAAACTTGTCAACTAGCTGTCTGGCAGAGGAAAGTAGAAAGTAGATTCCATTATAATCATTTCTGAGAATAGGTACCTATAATGCTGCTGATGTAGCTAGGTATTGGAAAAGGAAAAGCATTATAAAGTGTCTATAGAACTCTGGAATGGTGGAAGTAGGGAAAGGAAGGAAGATATGACTTGGCTTGTCTTGCTAGGTATTGGGGGGAAAGGCAAAGCATTGTAAAGTGTCTATAGAATTCTGGAGTGATGGAAGTAGGGAAAAAGGAAGGAAGGAAGAAGTGATATGACTTGGATTGTCTTGCTAAAAGTTGTGCTGCTTTATCATCCACTAAGGCATCTTTTAGAGACTAGTAATCTTGGTTTTCATTAAAACTTGGAGGTTTCATTCTCTTTGGTATATTCATATTTTAAAGACATTTGGTGATGGTTGGATTTGAAACAGGTCTTCAGAATCACATGGAGAAGGCAGTTTGGAGCTGCAAGAGTTGTAGTATTACACCTTCCTTTGAAGTAAGATGATTGGCCTTCTTGACCATGGCGTGTTATACAAGGAAAAGTCTTAGAAGTTCCAAGATAGTGCTGAGATTCTCAGTCTTAATACTGTGAAGTAATTTGTTTCTCATTTTACCTGAAATACCAAAGTTTGCAAATGATTTGCTTTTTGTAAAATATAAATATAAATTAGAAGAGAATCAAGGTTATTCCTATGATTATATCACTTTTACTTGCATTCCAGTCTGCTTTTTAGAGAAAAGGAAAAGCGGTAGAATTACAAATAGTTGGCAAAAATTGTGCATAACTTTGGTTATACCCGTGGGAATGTGAACATCTATGTGTCTTGGCAGAAAAAATGTACAGAACCATTGACTAATTGGACTTCAGTTAGGAGAGAAGATAGAAGTTAGCAAGATGGGCCTTGTAATTTTGGCCAAGCTATTTGTTTTTTCAAGAGCTTCATATTTCCCCTCTATTAAATGAAGATTATAGGAGGATTAAATGAGAAAATGATTATAAAACTGGCATAGTAAGTTCTCAAGGTTAGTGTTCTTGTGACCTTAAGTATGTTCCTTAACTTCTCTGTCCTCTTAGTTTGTCTGTAAAACGGACATCATAATTCCTGCTCAACTATATACTTAAATGCACTTCAAGGATAAATAATACCTATAAAATCACTTGGAGCTTATTGGTCCTTAAATTGATCTGAGCTCTGTCAAATGAAATGTCAGTTTGTTTATCCATTTGCCTACTGATCACTTGAACAATTTCCAGTTTGTAGTTACTATTAATAAGGCTGTGAATATTTTTGTATAAGTCTTTTGATGAGCATACATTTTAATTTCTCTTGGGTAAATTCATTAGAAGTGCAATTGCTGGGTGAAAGGCTAGGTGTACTTTAGTTTTAAAAGAAATTGGACAGACTTTCTTCCAAAGTGATGATGTCATTTTACATTTCCACCAACAATGTATGAGAGTTTCCATTGCTCCACATCTTCGCCAGAATTGGTGGTTATGTCTTTTTAGTATTAACCTTTCTGGTGAGTGTGGAATCTCTTTGTTCATCCTTCATTTTTATGTAAAGGCTTCACTATCTAAACCAAAAAAACCTTATTTGATACTAGAAGGAAACACCCTTTTTTCTGCTGACTGCTACTTTGATTTGTTTCCACTGTATAGAGCTGAAGAAAACTGCTATCAGAATGAGTAAGTGATGGGGAAGAGGAAGTTGACTCCCTTCCCCCACTTTGAGTTTTCAAGACCTCACTAGGTGTGCCTGATAATTATAAACGTTTCATTCTGGAAAGTGAAAGCTAAATAAATAATGAAGTCCAGGGAGAGAACATGAGCCCTTTCCTAAGCAAACAGCATTGTGGGCAGTATGAAGTTTAGCAAGAACAAGGTGTTCTCAAATGCTACTTTTTGGAAATACAGATCTGTTCTTTGGTTCACAATGTCTTGGTCATCTTTACATTGGCTATTTTCCATGTAAAAGGTAAATTTTGGCTTTATAGCATAAAGTTACACGATTATTACTAAATTGAAAACAATTATATCAAAGACTTTACTAAACAGAAGAAATAAAGTAGGCTAGACTTATGCTCTTGTGTACCTAAACATTGGTTTGCTTCATCTGATCAAAGTGTTAATTGCATTTCTCAGGAAATCCTCAGTGGTTTGACTAGAGGCCAAAACTTTATACATTATAGCTGTCTCCTCTCTCCTGTAGGCCCAATTACTGGCAGACCGCCTCTATATTTTTATTAGCAGAGTTTTCATTTGAATTTTTCTTTTAAAATAGCAGATTATAGGAATTACTTTGTCCCCTTTGTCAGCTTTAGGGGCTGCTGCTTCAAAGGCCAACTGTTCTGGATCCTAGACTCATTTGATCCTTTTTTGGAGTTTCTTTTCCGTTTCTTCTAATTTAATTTTCTATTTCACAATCCCTTTTTAAGAAACACTGCAAAACAGCTTACCGTCTGTTTTCATCTTTTTTCAGCCAGTGGTCCTGGCATCTACTTGTGTTTAATCAGGCTTAGTTTTATTTTATTATAACATTTAGTTTCTATTCTTTCAGTTATCAATAACTAGGATCTCTGATATCAGTATTTCCAGAATTTAGACTGTCAAAGTAGACATGTTTGAGAGATTGTCCTAGGAACTGTATGAGGTGTAAAAGATTTTAGAAGGTGAATGTTTTGTGTCTAAAGAAGGATGAATTGATTCCTGTCTTTAGTGCTAAGTAGGTCAGTAGGAGGAGTGAAGGAAATTTCTCGTCATGGTTCTGTGACTGAACTTTCAGCATGTGTTTAAAGGATGTTATGCTGGTTACTGTGCCAAAGCAACTAGGTGGAAATAAGTAGTCCCTCTAGAAAATGATCAGTCTGAACTGAGGACACATCATCTCCTCCCCCACCCAATTTAAGGGGATGAGGGTAGATCTGGATCTTTTGCTAGGATGAGGGTGGGGCAGTCACTGGCTCTGGCCGTGGGGAATGCCGAAACAGACTCATCCAGTCTTTATTTCAGCTGCATGCTTTGCTCCCACTTTCCAGGTAACTGGTGCCACCAATTCTCCAGGCTCTTAGGGATTCTGCATCAGGGATTGGCTGGGATTTAGCTTTCCCTACTTTTCTTAAATCTGCTAAGTCATGTAATTCCTCTGTCTGCTTGCCAGCTTCCAAAATTTGTTGTAGTCTTTGTTGTACTCGCTCCTCTCCTGTTCTTCTTGAGCTTGTAGGATTATGCTTTTAAAAAATGGTGATGACTTTTTACATACAACACCGAAAGTACAATCCATAAAGAGAAAATTCAGGTTGAACTTCTTCCAAATTAAAAACTTCTGATCTGAAAAAGAGAGGAGAATGAAAAAACAAGTCACAGACTGGGAAAAAAAATCTTTGTAAAACACCCAGTAAAGGACTTGTTATCCAAAACATACAAAGAATGCTTAAAACTCAACAAATAAGAAAGCAACCCAATTATTAATAGAAATGACTAACAGATCCGAACAGATACCTCACCAAAGAAGAAATACGGATGGCATGTAAGCATATATAGGAAGATGCTCAACACTGTATGTCATGAGGAATTACAAATTAAAGCAATGAGATACCACTACACGCCTATTAGAATGGTCAAAATGAAAAACACTTGACAGCGCCAGATGCAGGCAAAGATGTGGAGCACCAAGAACTCTCATTTGTCGCTAGTGAGAATGCAAAATGGTACAGCCACTTTCTACCTTCATCTGTGCTCTTAGAATGGAAGAACTGTCTGGGAGTCTGTATTCTACTGATGAAGTCTGTGCAGTCTTATCCTTTCAGGGTACAATTAAATCTCATCAGGCCATTTTCCCTCTGTTGTAATCCAGCTCACAAACCACTATGAAATTATTTTTAAATGAATTTATTTTTAATTATAGTGAAATATATATGGCATAAAATTTGTGATCATAATCATTTTTAAGTATATAGGTCAGTAGTGGTAAGTATTATATATTCATTCTTGTGCAGCCAATTTCTAGAACTCTGTTTTCAATAGATTTAGGGGTTACAAGTGGTTTTTGTTACATGACTGAGTTGTATAGTGGTGAAGTCAGGGCTTTTAGTGTAACTGTCACCGAATAGTGTACATTGTGTCTGATAGGTAATTTTTGATCAAAAACAACCTGTAGAACTTTTTCATCTTGCAAAACTAAACTAAAACTCTGTGCCCATTAAACAACTCCCTATTCCCCCTTCCTCTAGTCCCTGTCAACTACCATTCTTCTGTTTCTTTGAATTTGACTCCTTTAGATACCTCATAGAAGTGGACTCATACACTATTTGTCCTTTTGTGACTGGGTTATTTTACTTAGTATAGTATCCTCAGTGTTCGTCCACGTTGTAGCATGTGACAGGATTTCTTTTTCAGGCTTAATAATGTTGCATTATATGTATATACCACATTTTGTGTATCCATTTATCCATCAATGGACATTTGGGTTGCTTCCATCTTTTGGCTATTGTGAATGATGCTGCTATAAACAGAGGTGTACAAATGTCTCATAAAATTTTTTAATTTTATTGTGTTGCTCACATTGTTCCCCTATTGAGAATCCTTAGTGATTTCCATGTTAGTTACTAATTAATATCCAGACTTAACATGCTATTCAAGACCCTCTAAATTTTTTTTAATAAATTTAATTTTCAGTTTAATCTTTTTTTTTTTTACAACTCTTCTAGCTTTAAGACCCAATTCCCATCTCAAGCTAACTCTCACTATATTTAGTTATAGAATAGGAAACCAAATAAATGAACTCACCAGAACTATATCTAAAACAAAAGCAAATAGCTTATGATTTACTATCTGAAGATTTTCATCTAAGTAATACGAACTTTCATATAAGGACTTTCTTAAGCACGTTGGTTGTTCATAGCTCTTATTTTATGTTTTGGCTATTTTCTAGAACTTTTGATATATTTGGCTATTGCCCTAGAAATTTGAAGTCATATAAAAGATAGACTGGTAGCGAGGCCTGGAGGTAATCAGATGGGTATTTCCAATAGGAGGGCAGGTGAGTGGGATTAGTAAATAGGTACCAGGTTGATGTGGTTGCAGATTGTATTATAGCATGACACCAGCCTGGTAAGTACGCTCCAGAAGTCTAGAGGTTTCCATTGCGGTCCTGCTTTGCTGCTACCACCTTAGGAGTGCTTTTTAAGGCAAGAACATCATAGTAGTCATCACTGTCCTTTTTAACACTTTTTATAACCTGTAATTATGTTCCATTAATTGTTCATTTTCTGCTTTCCCCATTAGACTATAGGCTCAGTGAGGGCAGAGACTGGCTTTATTGTTATTTTTGTCATGACTCTATCTCCAATACCAGTGTTGAGCACAGTATCTGACATTTACTAGGTGCTCAATAAATGTTTATTTAAGAAAGGAAGGCCAGGCGCGGTGGCTCACGCCTGTAATCCTAGCACTCTGGGAGGCTGAGGCGGGCGGATTACACGAGGTGAGGAGTTCGAAACCAGCCTGAGCAAGAGCGAGACCCTGTCTCTACTATAAACAGAAACAAATTAATTGGCCAACTAATACATATATAGAAAAAATTAGCTGGGCACGGTGGTGCATGCCTGTAGTCCCAGCTGCTCGGGAGGCTGAGGCAGCAGGATTGCTCGAGCCCAGGAGTTGGAGGTTGCTGTGAGCACGGCACTCTCTAGCCTGGACAACAAAGTGAGACTCTGTCCCAAAAACAATATATAGATTCTCAGTTCAGCATTAATACAGAACAGTCATAGTGTTGAAGATCTCTGTTGATGACTCACTAGATGATTTAATCACACGATGTTACCCACAGTTCCAAATTTTCATAAAGAGTAATATTTTTCTGCTAATTACCTTTTTCTTTATTTTACATCATGTAAATTTTATTTCATTATTTGGCAACAGGTTGTTTTAACCTGGCACTATGTTATACCAGAATTTCCTAAATATTTAAAAGAATATCAGTTCCTTCTTTACAACATGCCTATGAGGTTCAGGAAGCATGCTTTTCATTTCTTTGACATGGATATTAAAGTGCAAAGTGTCCTACTGTAGACTATACAGTATGTTCCCTCATTGTAGCTCATTACATTAACATGCTGAAACAACAGATCCAGCAGTTAGTTTTTCTGATGATTATCTTTCCATATGTGGTTTTCTCTGGAATTAGACTCTAGGGAATTAAGAGAAAGTATCTTTATTTGAGGAATGCAAAATTAAAATAGATTTTCAGTAATGTATGTTAAACTCTGGCAAGTTTGATGACTTCTGACCTAGCTCACTTTTTTTTCCCCTTTTTCCACACAGATTGATAGAGCTACATTCTCCTGATAGCAGGAACACGTTGATCCTACGCTGCAAGGACACAGCCACGGCACACTCCTGGTTCGTAGCTATCCACACCAACATAATGGCTCTCCTCCCACAGGTGTTGGCTGAACTCAATGCCATGCTTGGTGCAACCAGTACAGCAGGAGGCAGCAAAGAGGTCAAGCATATTGCCTGGCTGGCAGAACAGGTAGGCTGGGAGGCATGGCCAGGGCTCACCTGGTACCCATTCAGAGGCAGAATGGCTCCCTCATTTCATATGTCTATAATATTTATCATACTGTTAGGTCTTAGATACCTAGCTTACAGAGCTTTTGTTTGTCAGTCTTTTGTTCTCTTCTCTTTTTTCCTTTCTACCATTTAGCTCTTTGGTGCTAATTATCACTTCCACTGGGAAGAATGGAATGTCATGATAATCACCATCACAATAGAACTAAAAAGAGGTTCTTACTACAACTCTATCCTTAATGACAGAGGGTAATTTCATGATTTTAGACTAGGGTCCGCAAACTTTTTCTGTAAAGGGACATAGCATTGCAACCACTGGACTGTGCCGTTGTAGCAAGAAAACAGTCATAGAGGATATGAAAATGAATGGGTATGACTGTGTTTTAGTACAACTTTATTTACAAAAACAAGTGATGGGCTAGATTTGGCCCAGGGGTCACACTTTGCCAACAGACTTGAACAAGGGTTGGGGAGAGTTTTTGTGGGCAGCAGGCTCTAGTGTATTCCTCTGCTCTGGGAAAAGCATAAAATACACAAAATATTTTACAAGCCATTAGACAAAGGTACAATTGTCTTCCACACCTGAAAAATGAAAGGAAAAGAAACAAGAAAGCCAAAATGGATGTTGAGTAAAGGGAAAGGAAGAAGACAAAAATCCAATTTATTTTAGATCTCAGGTTTGATAAAGGGGAGTAAAATTTCTATGTGGTATTATGTTACATGCCTTTTCCTTTCTGGTCCTATACTGTCAGCTGGGCCAGAGGGTTGGAAAAAAGACTGAACTAACGGGTTCAGGGATGAGCGTTCAAGTGCTAGGTCTGTTTTTAGATTTTTAAAATTTCTTTAGAGTCCTTGTTCCCTCATGTGTGCGCAAAGGGGTAGAGAATGGACTTGACCTTGGCTCCCAGATACATCCGAATCAGCCCAAAGAGTTTTCTCTTCTTTCATTTTTGATTTTTGTTTAACGTGGTTTAAGGCCAGGTATGGGGGGCTCATGCGTGTAATCCCAGCATTTTGGGGAGGATCACTTGAACCCAGGAGTTCAAGACCAGCCTGGGGAATAGCAAGACCCTGTCTCTACAAAAAAAAGAAAAGAAACTTAGTTGAGGGAGGTGGTAGAAGGCTGTAGTCCCAGCTACTCAGGAGGATCCTTGAGCCCAGGAACTGGAGTTTTGCAGTAAGTTATGATCACACCACTGCACTCTAGCCTAAGTAACAAAGCAAGATCCTGTGTCAAATAATTTCCCAGATCTGATCCTCCACCCCAAGAAAGTCCTGATTTTTTTCTTCTTTTTGAATCAAGGTTGATTTTGTTTATTTGGAGAGGATGTTGTCCCCAGTAAAGTTCTGATTTTGTAGATCTGTGGCAAGATTGCGTGGCAGACTTGGTTGGTAGCTCCCCAGATAATTGCAAGGTATGACCAATTTTGGGTAATTTTTTTTTTTTTTACCTCTGAAATTTTACGAACATTTCAAATAAAATTATGATACATGAGAACACAGAATTAGTACAGTGATCATTTCCATGAAGCACAATTCGGATAACTAAGCAAAGAAACTAATGAAAATCATGGTATAAGTACTTATGGCTTTGAAAGTTTTATTTAACATTTCAGTTGTGTTCCTCATTGTTATTTTTATATGTTAATTGAAAGACTGGACTGAGTGGTAATTGTTCTGTGCTTTCGCAATGTTAAAGTCTTAATGATTTTAAACAGGTAACACATTCACATGGTTTAGAAGTCAAAGAATAAAAAGTTAATGAGGCCTGGCGCGGTGGCTCACGCCTGTAATCCTAGCACTCCGGGAGGCCGAGGCGGGCGGATTGCTCGAGGTCAGGAGTCAAACCAGCCTGAGCAAAGAGCGGAGACCCGGTTCTCTGACGTATAAATAGCAAAGAATTAATTGGCCATAACATATAGAAAAAATTAGCCGGCATGTGGCCCATGCCTGTAGTCCCAGCTACTCGGGAGGCTGAGCAGCAGGACGCTTGAGCCCAGGAGTTGAGGTTGCTGTGAGCTAGGCTGACGCCACGGCACTCACTCTAGCCTGGGCAACAAAGCGAGACTCTGTCTCAAAAAAAAAAAAAAAAAGTTAACGGGTAAAAACTCTAGCCCTTGTTCCTGTCCCCCATCCTCCTCGTTCCCATCCACTCTCCCCCAGAGAGGTAATTACTCTTATTCCTCTCCATTTGAATCTTTTGAGAGTTCCTTTATGCAAATAAAAAGAAAATATGAGCATATGTTCTTTTCCTCTCTTAAAAAAGATAGCATATAATGCATATTACTTTATACCGGGCTTTTTGTTTCATTAAACAGTATATCCTGGAGAGCTTTCCGTGTCGATGCACAGAGAGCTACATCATTCTTTTTTTTCTAAACACCTGTAGAACACTTACCCAATTTTTTGTTACAATGTTTTGTCATTAAAAAATGGGATGCTGACACTGTATCTGAAGACTCCTGGAAGATTAGCAATCAGAAACGCGGAAGGCCACATCGGAGTCTAATACCATTTTTTGTTTGTTTTGGTTGTTGAACCAGAGTCGTCGCTTTGTTGCGCCCAGCCACGAGTGGAGTGCCGTTGCCGTCGGAGCCTAGCTCACAGCAACCTCAAGCTCCTGGGGGTCAAGCTGGATCGCTGCCTGCCTCAGCCTCCCGAGTAGCTGGGACTACAGGCATGCACCACCATGCCCGGCTAATTTTTTCTATATGTTAGTTGGCCAATTAATTTCTTTCTATTTATAGTAGAGACGGGGTCTCGCTCTTGCCCAGGCTGGTTTCGAACTCCTGACCTCAAGCAATCAGCCGGCCTTGGCTTCCCAGAGTGCTAGGATCACAGGTGTGAGCCACTGTGCCTGGCCCATTTGGTTCTTAAGTTTCCAATAGTGAGTAGTAAAACTTTGGTCAGTAAGTTTGGATAATTTGGGTAGTGAGAGTTCAGAGAGTAGGGGAATATTTCTATACCTGTAGGTCAGATCCACAGAAGTGGTGAATTAAAGGGTTATTAGTTATGTATCACTACGTAACAAATTGCCCCTGAGACTTAGTGGTTTAAAATAACATTCACCTCACTTGGTTTCTAAGGATCAGAAATCTGATGCAGCCTACCTGGGTGGTTCTAGCCCAAGATCTCTGGTGAAGTTGGAATCAAGTGATGAGCCAGGGTGGCTGTCATCTGAGGGCTTGACTGTTGCTGGCCAGTTTATTTCCAGGATGATTCATGAATGAGGCTGTTATAGGAACCCTCGGTTTCTTCCTGGCTGTTGGCAGAAGTCCCCACTTCCTTGCCATGTGTGCCTTTCCACAGGGCTGGCTGCCTGAGTGTCCTCGTGACATAGCTGCTGGTTTTCCCTGAAATACGTGATCTGAGAGAGAGAACAAGGATGGAAGACACAGTGCCTTTTATGACCTAGTCTCTGAAGTCATACGTTGTTGCTTTATTCCTTTCAAAAGAAGTGAGTCCCTAAGTCCATCCTATACCCAAGGGGAAGAAATCCAGGTTCTACCTCTTGAAGGAGAAGAATAGCAAAGAATTCATGGACATACTTTACAACTACCACAAAGGATATATATTCTTTTGTAATTTTTTTTTTTTTTTTTTTTTGAGACAGAATCTCACTCTGTTGCCCAGGCTAGAGTGCCCTGGCGTCAGCCTAGCTCACAGCAACCTCAAACTTCTGGGCTCAAGCAATCCTTCTGTCTCAGCCTCCCCAGTAGCTGAGACTACAGGCATGTGCCACCATGCCTGGCTAATTTTTTCTATATATTTTTAGTTGGCCAATTAATTTCTCTCTTTTTAGTAGAGACCAGGGTCTCACTCTTGCTCAGGCTGGTTTCGAACTCCTGACCTTGATGATTTGCCTGCCTCGGCCTCCCAGAGTGCTAGGATTACAGGCGTGAGCCACTGTGCCCAGCCTTACAGTGTTTAATTGACAAATAATTGTATATATTCATGGGGTACAATGTGATATTTGTGACGTTTTGGGGGTTTTAATTTTTTTAAATTTTTAATTATGGGCATATTATAATAATCGTATCTTTCCAGGGAACGTGTGATGTTTTGATATGGGCATACATTGTGAATTAATCAAATCAGTGTAAGTGGGGTATCCATCACCTCAGCCATTTATCATTTCTTTGTGTTAGGAACATTCTAATTCCACTCTCTTAGTTATTTTTAAGTGTACCCTAACGTACTGTTGATTATACTTTGTTGTGCTATCAAATATTGTTCATTCCATTTAACTATATATTTTTATACCCATTAACCATCCACCACTTTATCATCCCCCCTTTGCGACCCTTCCTAACCTCTGGTAACCATCATTCTACACTCTGTCTCCATGAGATCAATTGTTTTTAATGTTTAGCTCCCACATATAAAAATGTGTGAGATCTGTCTTTCTGTGCTTGGCTTATTTCACTTAATATTCTTCAGTTCCATCCATGTTGTGGCAAAGGGCAGGATTTCATTCTTTTTGTGGCTATATGATATTCCATTGTGTGTATGTACCACAATTTCTTTGTCCATTCATCTGTTGATGGACACTAAGGTTGATTCCAAATCTTGGCTATTGTGAATAGTACTGTAATAAACATTGGAGTGCAGATATCTTTTGATAGACTGAATTCCCCGCCCGTGGGATTGCTGGGGCATACAGGAGTTCCATTTTTAGTTTTTTGAGGAACCTCCATACCGTTTTCCATAGTGGTTGCACTAATTTACATGCCCATCAACAGTTTACAAAGGTTCCCCTTTCTCCACGTTTTTACCAGCATTCATTATTGCCTTTTTGACAAAAGTCATTTTAATAGGTGTGAGATGATATCTCATTGTAGTTTTGCTTTGCATTTCTCTGATAACTAATGATGTGGAGCAGTTTTTCATACACCCATTGGCCATTTGTATGCCAGGGAGGGGGAGGGGTGCCATAGGCGACGCAAGATTGTCTTTTCTGGC